ACCCAGCAGTTGCACTACTGAGTATTTACCCCAAAGATACAAACGTAGGGATCCGAAGGGGCACGTGCACCCCAATGTTTATAGCAACAATGTCCACAATAGCCAAACTATGGAAAGAGCCCAGATGTCCATCAACAGATGAATGAATAAAGAAGATGTGGTATATATATACAATGGGATATTACGCAGCCATCAAAAAAATGAAATCTTGCCATTTGCAACGACATGGATAGAACTAAGAGGGTATTATGCTAAGCGAAATAAGTCAATCGGAGAAAGACAATATCATATGATTTCACTCACATGTGGAATTTAAGAAACAAAACAGAGGATCATTGAGGAAGGGAGGAAAAAATGAAACAAGATGAAACCAGAGAGGGAGACAAACCATAAGAGACTCTTAATCTCAGGAAACAAACTAAGGGCTGCTGGAGGGGAAGGGGGTAGGGGGATGGGGTAACTGGGGGATGGGCATTAAGGAGGGCACGTGATGTAATGAGCACTGGGTGTTATATGCAATTGATGAATCACTGAACTCTACCTCCAAAACTAATAATACATTATATGTTAATGAACTGAATTTAAATTAAATTAAAAAGAAAAAAAGAAGAGACCCCCTCCCTCTATCCCGCTGGGTGGTGGCTTTGTCAAGTTTTCAAAGCAGTGGGAATAAGCGCAGAGTCTATCCCTGCCTGCCCCAGGCCTCTTTCCACCCTCCTCCAGACCTATAAGGGTCTGCATGGGTCCCAGCCTGTTCTCTCCTTCCTGGTGGAATTCCCCAGAAATGAAGTAACCGTTCTCAGGTTATGCACGGCACAACGGGCAGGACATTCTCAAATAACTTCTTCCTAGCCATGAAAGGCTAGCACCTCCCAGCCTGTTGAGTTGGACAGGCAATCTGTCTTCATTTCTGAATGTCCCCTAAGAAGAACAAATCTGTTACACTCTGGCCGACACATTTCCAAAGAAGTGAAATAATGCGATCTGACTAAAATGTCAAACTCTAATATTGAACAAAAAACAGAGTAGACACAACGAGAGAAGGAACACCAAGGGAACTCTTCCGGCAACTCAACCCAAAACCTGCCCTCTGTGCACTTCCACGGATATGACAGATACCCCTGCCCTTCCTGGGTATGTGACTCCCCTCAGAAAAGATCACCCAGGCCAGAAAAGAGTCTGCTCGCAGCCAGCAGGGAACGTTTCCCCATCCCCTGGCCTTCAAACTGCTGAGGCGAACATTTCAGAAGGGAAATAGAGCAGAGCCAAATTTCCCAGCCATGTGAAAACTGAGAGGGAGAAGCTTCCAGCGCCCAAAGATCCTAACCCCCGCTGATGTCTGGAGCTCCTCTGGCCAGGCCTCCACGGCCCTTCCCGCATCAGCACCAGAGAGGATTTCCTCAGAGTGCAGGATGGTCCCCCAATGAGCGCCTCTCCCTTCCCCGGCAAGCTCCAGCAAGTTCTTGCTGTCTGGGGAGTGGACCTGATCGCAAACCAGACCTGAGGTGTCTGACAGATTGCTCACCGGGCCGGGGCCGGGGTGGGGAGGCGTCTGACGTCCTGTGCTTTCAAGTGAGAAAGATAATAATAGAAATAGCTAATATTTGTAAAGAACTGACTAAGCATCAGTCACTGACGTAAGCACTTTACATGCATTTTAATATTTGTATGACGTTCCTTTTGTCCCCATTTGACAAGTGAGGAAGCAGGCTGGTTTCTCCTTTATAAAAACCAAGCCCTTCCCAGGTAAACAGTGGAATGGACGTGGCCTTTCGAGCTCAGGGTGCCTTCTATCATTATTCGATACACGCTGATTAAAGACATTCCTTCTTGGAACGGATCTGCTATGGAATCCGGGCACTAAGGGCCGAAGAGATCAGCTTCCAGGAGCACCAAGGGCCCGATTCGGGTGGCGATGTTGCGGCATCTATGGTGCTCAGCTGTAGGCGAGCAGCTGAGCAGGATTCTGCTCGGCCCCTTCTCTCTTCCTTTTCTCCACAGGCCCGCCGGTGGTAGTGGTGAGGGTTCTGCCCTGTCCCCTCCTAGAGGCTTCCACCCTCTCCCCTTCCTGCCTGGCTGCATCTTGGAGAGTGCTGCGGCTGGGGCTGTCTCAGTCTCCAAGGGGATGGGTGATTTATGTCCTTTTATTCAGCAAGCAGCTTTGTACAGAACGGACGCGACATGCTGAATGTCACCAAGCGGGGGCAGGGAAGCTGTTCAGAATCCCAATGAAGCCTTTTCCGCCCGGGCAAAATGGCACCGGTGGCTTTGTTATTGTGTGTTTTCTCTGGTGGGCGTAAGGAAGAGGCAGCAGATGCTGAGAGGTTGCAGGATAGCTGGCTTGACTGGCAGGGAACCGCCCCCCCCCCGCCGGAACGCCAGCGTCCGGCTCCCCTGTGAGTGCCTGCCCCTTCCCGGCTCTCCACCTCCTGCTGGCAGCCCACGGGAGACAAGCCAGGCAGGAGGCCACGCGGACTTGGGTGAAGAGGGCTCCTTTCTGTGGAGGAGAAACAAGAGGAGCCCCTTCTGTTCCGTGCAGAGGCTGGGTGTGCTGGGGCCTCGGCGCCCGGGGCCTGCACGCCGCGCAATAAACCACAAGGGGTCCAGGCGCCCATGGGGTAGATGGGGGCTCAGCTCTGCACTCCACTCTCCTGACACCCCAAGGCCTGAGGGAGGTTCCTTGGCCCCTTGTCTCGCTTTCCACACTCCTCCGCTCACCCGGGTCGGTAAATTCCCCTGAGGCCACGAGCCACGCCTACTCCTCCCTGCTCCCATCCCGCATTGGCACCCATGCCCAGCGCAGCACCGTTCCCAGCCCAGAGCAGGCACTCCATGTTTGTGGAAGGAATGGTGAGCTCACTGCTCTGGAGCGCGCGGGCTGCTCCGGGATGCCCCGGTGGCATGACAAAGCATGGCCTTGACGTTTAGGGCAAACTGCACCATCCCAGTGTGCTACAGAGACACCGAGGAGTGGGTAAGATGATAGATTCACAGGAGTTGAAGGGACCCTGGAGATGGCACAGCCCTACCCTCTCGCTTTCCAAGTGAGGAAACTGAGGCCCGGAGGAGGCCTCCCAGCACCAGACGAGCAGAGCCAGGGTTCCGAGCGGGCCCTCTCAGGCACAGCTCTCTCTTGCCAGCATGCTGCCCCTCATCCCTAGCCTGCTCCCCGCCTCAGCTGCCAGCCCGGTCCCCAGCCGGCGCCCCTCCCTGTCTCAGCCCACACACTCAGTCTCCCCGGGGAGGACGGCAGTTAGTTTGCATCGTGCTGCTCGGCACTGGCACCCCCGGGCTGGCGGCAAACCCTGTGTTCCCAGCGCGCCACGTCCCTGCGGGCCTGGCGGGTCAGAAGTTCAGGGCCAGGCCACACGGGGACTGGGGAGGGCAGAAGAGACGATAGTCAGCCAGGGCCTGTGAGTGAAGCAGGCAGCCCCCAGAGCAGAGAGACAAAGCAGGGTCCCCCAAGGGCGCAGGGAGCCGGGGAGCTGGGGAGAAGGAAGTGAGGAGGTGCAGCGCCCCCACTCACCCTCCTAGGGAGACGGAGACGGAGGAGTAGAACGGGGACAAAAGCAAACGAAAAGGCCAGAGAGATGAGCCAGATGGAGGGAAGTCGGGGCACAGAAGGAGACAGAGAAAGCTTGATCTTTCTCCTCTTTCTATCATTTCCTCAGGGCATCCTCTTAGGGCACCCTACCCGGCAGGGGTGGTGCTGAGGAGAAAGGGGAGCCCGAGGGAGAGGGAGAAGAAAGGAGGGGGAAGGAAGCACACTTATCAGTTCACTTTCCTCTGTGAGGCACTCAGAGCATCTTAAGCACTAGTTTGGGGAGGGGGGGTCCTGATTGTCCAAAAGGGGGGAACTGGGTTCTGTCAACTAAGGGGCATTTCAAGGTCCCTCAGATGTGTCCAAGCCCCCCTGCTCTTCTGACTCAGTTAGACAACTGCTTGTGAATTTAGGAACGTGACAGGGATTCCAGAGGACCACTGGTCTACCCCTTATAATCCAGCCCCTGCAGTCCACAGGCGTGGAAGCGCAGGCCCCAAGGGCAGAGACTTGTCCAAAGACGCAGCACCAAGACTGCTGCGTAAACAGAAGCCAGGTCTCTGAGCACCCACTCCAGGCACGTGACAACCTTACCAGTCAGGCTGCATGAGTCCCATGCTCCCAAACCCTTGGGCAGGAGCCCCCTGCCCCCCTACAGCAGGCCCTTGCTGCCCCAAGAGCAAGTACGAAAGGGAGAGGTTCTCTCAGAATGCCCAAGAAACACTTTTGCTGACCTCCCAAGAAGAAAGTGGAGAGAGAGGTGGGGCGGCCTTCAAGAAGGGGGTTTGGAGCAGACTTCATGGGGCCTCACCCTCTCTCTGCCAGGGGAGAGGTGGCTCCAAGGCCCCAAGGATGCCACCCTGTGCCCGGCGGCTCGAGGCTGGTGAGTGAAGAGGGGGTCACCTGCCCACGCCTCCACACGAACAGAGCTGAGCGCTGGCGAAGGCAGGCCCCTCATCCTGCCCCCATCTGTTGATCTTGGTGGTAAACGTATCTTTAGGGAATCATAGTATTTTCTTGCTCTAAAAACCCTCAGTCTAACTCCTTTTTTCTGACTCATGTTTGCCTCCACCAATATGAAACTGAGCCCATGTGGGGCGCAAGCCAGCCTGTGGGGGCTCAGGGGCTGGGCAGATGGCAGCAACAGGGTGGGCTGAGGTCCTGTTCACCAGGCAGAGATGGCCCCAGTGCAGACATAGTCCTCTTCTTTTCCAGGCTCACCCTCTTGCCCCAGAGGGTAAGCAGGGAGGGAGGCCTTTTGTCTCCTTTGACCATTTCTATACGCCTGGTGCCTTCAGTGGGACCCTGCCCAGAGTGCGCTCAGTAAATGTCTGCAGGACTTAGGAGGGGGAAACAGAGGCTGGTCAAGATACAGTGATGGGCCAAGACTTCAGGGGTCCTGCTCCCTTCCCTGTGTCCTATGGGACCCTGGGCCGTGGGTGGGGAGAGGGGCACTCACTCCAGCACGTCGCGGTTGAACTGCTTCTTGCTGTTGCCCAGGAACTCCCCGATCATCTGCCGGCTGAGACCCTTGCGCTGGAGCAGGAAGTGGGCCACTCCAATGGGGGTGTCAGGGATGAAGCCTCGAGAGATCAGGAACTGGATGCCTTTGTCTGGGTTTCTAGGGGTGGGAGCGGAGATGGGGAGGAGTAGAGAGTGAGCCACGGCTATCCATGACTTCTTTCTTCCCTTTCTTCCAGCCCATGGAACCCATAGAAGTGCCTGGAAGTTTCTGGGAAGAATGCCTCCGAAATGCCAGGATTCCTTCCACTGCAGATGGGCTCCCCATCCCAAGTGCTTCTCCCAGGAGCCTCATCTTCCTGAACAACCCCCACCCCAACACATACATAGGAGTGAAGATAGCATGGGGAAGGAAGGAGTTGGGGGAGGTCTGAATTCCAGAGCAGGTGGAGAGGTTCCTTTCTGTCTTCCCTGAGGGCCGTGAGGCCTGCCACGAAGGCCCTTCCTCCCTGTCTGTATTCTGTTGTCTATACACAGCACCCGCCCTGGAATTGGGAGGGAGGACGAGACTGGGGAGCAGCGGTGAGCTCTCCTACCACACTGTCCATAGTGGACTCAAGATTCCTGTTCTGCACCATTTACTCTCTCACGCTTGCATCTCTACGTTTGGGTGTGGGTGTGGGTGCTGTGTCTTTAGGCAAATGTGTTTACAGTATGGCCTGCAAATCCATGCTGTTCCCTGAACTGTATCTTACTGGTTCAGGAGAAGCTAAGTACTAAGCTATGAAATAGAGGGCAAACATTTAGAACTTTTTATAGCACTTTGACATTTTCAGGATAACCAAGCATGTGATTGTTTTTCTAGCAATTCATTTTTATTGCATTTCCCAAAAGTATCAGCCCACAACCTATCGGGTAAAAACCCAAAGTGGTCCTTCGCTACAGAGAGTTTGAGCACCACTGTCTTGAGGGATCCTACTATCTGTGTGAGTTTTGAGTTGCAGCTCGCCTTCCTTGTGTGAGCCTGCTTCTTTTCTGTAAAATGGCATAATAAGGCCATCTCTAGATATTGTTAGGAAGTTTGCAGATGTTTTATGTAAGGTGAGCCGAGAACAGTAGCTATCAGCCCCTGGAACATAAGCTTGAGATCAGGGCATGTGCCCTACTCAGCTTTGTGGTCAACGCGCCTGGCATTTAATAAATAACAGTTGAGTGAATAAATGAATGGACACGTGGGTGGGAGAGATGTTCAATTTTCTGGCTCAGGGCTCTGCAGGGAGGGGTGAATGGAGGGTGGAGATGAGATTTCCATGGGAGGGGCGTGCGTATCCTGCTGGCCCCCAGTTGTCTACATTCTAGTTGCAAGGACAGTTCTGGCTGGGGCTCTGGCTGGGGGACTCTGAACTCCAGCACTTGTTTGTTTTTCTGCTTTCATTCTCCTGTTCTCTTTCTGCGCCACCTCGGCTTCCTTGTCTCGCCCTTTTATCCCCATCCCTCTCCTGCCTTTTACCTGTATTCCTTATGCTCGGTCTCTTCTTTCTCCCCCACCCAGACCCTCCCTTGCCTTTGCTCATTTTCTCCTTGCTCTCTCTCCTTGACATCATCCCATAGAGATGATGCTGTTTCCCTAACTTCGTGTCCTCCCTGGATGATTTCTGCTCAGTCCGCATACGACCTGTACTGTCTTTTACTTAATACTGCATTTTCTTTTCGATTCTCTCGCTTTTCAAGCCCTAGCTTCGTCTTAAGCAGGAATAGCGGTGAAAGCATGGGCTTGATGTGTTGTCCCTAATCCTGAACATAAATTTGTCACAATTAAAAATAAAATGTGCATCCCTACACCGCATCTGGAGGAGCAGGTGCGGCACCAATGTCACCCTGGAGGGCGCTGGGATGATGTGGGAAATTAGCCGGCCCCCTGCTCCCCTGTTATCGCTGCGCCCCGCCCCCTTCCCACCGATCTTCCCAGGACTGCCCGGAGCTCCGCAGCCAGTGCTCACTCACATGTTGAACAGGTTGAGGCCGATGCGGTAGAGCCGTTTGCGCAGAGTGTCGGTGGACAGCGTGGGCGACTTGCAGCTGGCCGGGTTCTCGCAGTGGTAACGCGGTAGGCTCAGGATCATGGCCTGCAGGGCCTCCTTGGAGGCTGAGGCCGACACTTCCGAGCCCGACTTGGCCGACTTGGTGGACGTGCTGCTGCTGCTCAGCTGCTCCGAGTTGTCCCCGGCCTCCGCCTCGGCCTCGGTGCCTTGCCCCACCTCCCCGGTATCCCCCGCCGCCGCGGCCCCCTCCGCCCCCTCCGCCACCGCCGCGGCGGCCCCAGGCGAGTGGGCGCTCAAGGCCCCGCTGGCTCCGGCCTCTGCGCCCGTGTTCTCGGCGGGCGCGTCCCCCTGAGCAGGGCTTGCGGCAGCCGAGGGCTCCTGCCCGGGGGCCTCGCCCTGCTCGGCTTTGCCTGCTGCGGGCTCGGCCGGGGCCTGGGCGGTCTGCGCGCCCAGACAGTTGGCCACCGACAGAGCCGCGGCGGAGGACACGGAGATGTTCTGGTTGGCGATCTGCACGGTGACGTCCCGGAAAGCCATCATGAGGGTGCTGCTGTGGCCCTGGGGCAGGCCGGCGGCCTCGGCAGCCGCTTCCCCAGGCGCGGGACGGGCACTATCGAGCTCCCGCATCTCGGCCTCCAGGCCCGGTGGTCCCGCGCCCGCGTGCAGGGCCTGGTGGAGCTGGTAAGCGCCGCTCTCCTGCAGGGAGCACATGGTCTTGAGGCTCCAGGTGCTGAGGGCGTCGTCGATGGACTTGGCCAGGGACTGCACCTGCTCGGTGAAGGAGTCCTCCAGCTCGGTGAGCGTGCCCGCGAAGGTGGGCGGCAGGGAGGGCGAGCGCACCAGCGGCAGCCCCATGAGGCCGTAGCCCTCCATGAGCGCCTTCTCGGCCGCCAGGCTCTCGGCCATGGGCGCCCGGACTTTGCGCAGGGAGATCCGCCGCGGCAGGCGGCTCTCCAAGAGCGAGTTGCGGATCTTCTCAAAGTTCTTGCTGAGCTGGTACTGGCGGAAGGCGGTTTGGATGGTGCAAGCTGCGCGCCGGGACACGAGGTGGCCCCCGTACTTGTGTTCTAGCATTTCAATCTGCGACAACAACAGAAAGGAGGAAGAGCGCAGTGAGGCCTGGGGCGGGGGTCACCAGCTAAGCTTTGTCAGGGCCCAGGAATACACAGCTGGGGGGTACTGAAGGGCCAAAGTCTGAAACTCTAGCATGTCACGGCCTGAGATACCAGATCCTTGTCAAGACTCTTAGAGGTGTAGGATGTAGGACTGGCTTCGGTGCGGAAGGGGTCAGGGTGGTGCATTTGGTGGTCAGATACTGCTGCTACGGTGGTTATTTTAAAACGTTCATATCAGAGAGCTGTATGGAAGTACTTACGAGTGAAATACCCAGTATCTAGAATTTGTATTAAAATACTCCATCAAAAAAAAGTGGAACTGTAGATGAAATAATATTAACAAAAATTGTTGGAACTGGGTGGTGGTTATCTGGAAGTTTACTACACTCTTCTTTCTACTTGTGTGTACATTTAAAATAATAACAAATTAAAAATTAAACAGAAGTGCTACCAAAAAAATTACTGCTACTCCTGTTCACCTTTCTTCCTCATCACTGCATTGCAGAAATTCCTGACCCTGGGATCATCATAAGGGTTGGGATTGGGGTTTGATCAACAACGTGTTCCCGGTACCCAGCCCAAGGGCTCGCTCGTAGTAGATGCTCAGTAAATGTGAATTTAGGGGCACCTGGGTGGCTCAGTTGTTAAGTGTCTGCCTTCGGCTCAGGTCATGATCCCAGGATCCTGGGATCGAGCCCCACATTGGGCTCCCTGCTCCGCGGGAAGCCTGCTTCTCCCTCTCCCACTCCCCCTGCTTGTGTTTCCTCTCTCGCTGTGTCTCTGTCAAATAAATAAATAAAATCTTAAAAAAAAAAAATGTGAATTTAATAAAAAGATGGACAGAAGAGTGGGTGGGCGGGTGTTTCAAGAGTGGGAATCCCTCCAGGCTACCACGCTCCATAATTTGGGCCACCTCTGTTCTCAACAATGGGAGCTGTACAATCAGGGCAGGGCTTGGTGGGGCTGGTGGGGGCGTGCTACCTCATGTGGGCAGTGTGAACCCAGGAAAACTTGTGAGAAGGGGCCGGTGTGTCTTCAAGGCCCTTAGTCACCTCCTCCCAGCTCTGTCCTCCTGCTATGGTCGTTTCTCCCCCTCATGTGGCGATTCTCTCACTCTTTCTCCCTTATCAAAACCTCATAGGAAAGGACCAGAGAGACTTTCCCCCTGAGATGGGAGTGACAAATAACGTTTACCCATGTTGGCTCACTGGCCACGGCAGCTGGAGTGACTGCCTCTCACAAGCTCAGTGATCCCCTTGGTTTCCTCCCTGTGGGTGCCCGCCACCCCCGGACTAGCAGGGGCACCCTTCTAGCCCAGGACACCTCACAGACACAACCCCAACACCCAGGGACGATCCCGGGTAAAACAGGATAACCTCAATCCTATCTTTAGCTCTTCTATCTTGCCATTCAGGGTCCTTCCCGTCCCCAAACCTAGTGGCCTTATGCTGTCTGTCTTCCCCAGTCCTGCTGTCCTCTCTGAAGATAGCTGGAAAACTTAATCTTATTAAGGTTTGAGTGGCCAATAAGGCGTCCTGTACCATACCAAGTGTATCAGTTATCTACTGGTGCATAACAAATTACCACAAGCTTAGCCACTTAAAACAACACCCACTTATGTTCTCATAGCTCTGTAGGTCAGTCTGGGCACTGCTCCACTGGCTTCTCTGCTTAGGATCTCACCTGGAGGAAATCAAGGTGTCAGCTGACACCACAATCTCACACAAGGTTCAGCATCCTCCTTCAAGCTCATTGTTGTTGGAAGAGTTCAGTTTCTTGAGATTCTAAGGCTGAGGCCCTCAGTTACAACTGCCTGCCCTTCTCTGCCACATGGTAGCTTGGCCCTTTGAGGCCAACAGGACTCTGAGGCTTCACCTTCTTTTAAAGGATTTACCTGATTAGATCAAGCAACCCAAGGTGATTTTCCTTCGGATTCACTCAAGGTCAACTGAGTAGTAACCTAATCAGGAGTGATACCCTATTATGCCCTCTAGTCCCATGGCACTTCCCACAGAAGGGGATTATATAGCATGTGCACACCAGGGGGCTGGAATCTGGGGCCATCAGAATTCTGCCTCCCATACCCACGGGGTTTTATCATGTACCCAGGATCTCCAGAGAAACACAGATATTTCTGATATCTCAGGCATTTTGTTGTTGCTTTCACAGAAATCAGGTCAGAGGGGAGAGACCACTGTAGCTCAGTGTCCCCACAGAAATCTGGCAGGCTCCCTGAGGTCTGGAATGGGGATTGGCCTTGACTAGGCAGGAGAGCCCTCCAAGAGGAAGTGTACGGAGTGAGGGGAGCTGACGACTTAACTGCCTCCTTCCGTCAATTTCTGTGTCCCTGTGACCCCTCCTTGAGTACCAGGAGAAATGGACACCAAGCAGAAATTCATATTTCTTTCTTACCTGGTGGGAAACCTTAGGCCCAAGAGCATTCTCTTCAGGTTATGAGATGCTATTGGCAACAGAGGGAAGATATGAAATCTTATTGCCTGAAATGTTTCCAGAATGGGAAAGATGTCCACCCCCCTGGCACGGTATCGCCCTACCTGGAGGCAGAAGGCTGGCTGAGCTAAGCCTAGGAGACTTCTACCATCAGTGTCCCAATATGACCCAAGCAGAGAAGAAAACTGTATTTTAAATATCTTGAATCTGTTCCATCAAATCCTCCACTAGATTGTAAGCCCCATGAAGGCAGGGACTTTGCCATGTTCACTTCTTTTTTTTTTTTTTAAAGATTTTATTTATTTATTCATGAGAGAGAGAGAGAGAGAGAAGCAGAGGGAGAAGCAGGCTCCCAAGGAGCAGGGAGCCCGATGCGGGACTCGATCCCAGGACTC